ACGTTTCTACAAATGTTCATATTGAAGAATTCTAGAAGGCTATCATTTGGAAATCACCAAAACAGTAGGAAAAAATTTGGACTAAAATAATAAAACTTAAAGTGGCTCCATCAAAAATGATGTGTAAGCAATTCTTTCGATAGTCTATTGAGCTATCTTTCTCCGCAAGCTCCGTTTAAACAATCTGAGCAATATACCGCAATATACGCAAATACCGTTAGATGAGTATTGTGAGCTTATATTTTCGCTCCCAAACTGCATACTAGAAATTAACAGCATAGAAGGGAAGCTAAACGATTTCCATATAAGAATTAAATACCGATTATCGCGTACGAGTTTCAACAATAGAAGAGCTGAAGCAAAGTAAAGCTGCTTTAACGTCGCACTTAAATCATATTAAATTCTACCATATAAAAGGGGTGTAAGGAAAATGCATTTTTAATATATGTAATGAAATGCACTGTCACGTAACGGTGTATTGCCATGAACTTTTGCTGTTAAAGCACATCTATGACTTTTATTTTAATAATAAAGAGCCAAACTTAAGCAACGAAATACGAGCATACTATGCGAACAAAAACCTAAGGGGGGCGTTGCACAAAACCCACGAACGAGCATACACAGAAATTGAATGCAAGAAGAGCTTACAAGCACAAAAAAAATATGGAAAAATTAAAAATTTACAAAAAGTAGCAAATTGCTCGGTGGTAGAGCCAAACAAGAAGGCAGAAAGCAGAAAGCGAATGGTGACGAACTGCAAGTGTATAAAAACCAGAAAGCGCAACAAAATACCAGCAACAACAATGGCTTTCCTAGCGCATTTCCACTTTCCGTGGTAAACGGAAGGAAATTGGCACAAACAACGGCACACAAAAGGTGCACATGCTCATTTAACCATGCGTAGGTATGTTTGTATGCACTATATTCCTATATTCGGCCATACCCAGTGTAAGAACTGAACTGAGCACAAGGCTTAGTTTAATGTATGAAATTTTACTTCAAGGGCGGATGGTTTGATGGCTGATGTAGAAACGTACTGGAACAATATAAATTTACACAGGCGTTTAATTTCTACTCCTACTAGTTCGGTGAGATATTTAAAGCTTCCAAGTGTTTAAACCCTGAACTTGTAAAAGCGAGACAATCAACAAAGAAGTGTTGATATATTTCCAACCCGTCTTCTTTTATACATCTTCTGCAGCTAACGTGTGGTAAGATTATTAACCATACATGATCCCACAACTAAGAAGATACTAGTCTTACTGAGAGGAACTGTATCTCTCACATGCGATCTTGGGCCAAAAGGATATTGGGACAAGCTGTCGCGAAGCCCAGCAATACAGTAGTACATTGTCATTCCTTGTTAGCCTATCAGCTTTACAGTTTCCTGCGACCCCGCTGTGGCCGGGCTGCCCTACTAGTCTCATCGTAAATCTACCCCTCGTCTTTAATGTCAGCAACTTCGGCTTGAACAGGCCTGCAATAGTCTGGAAGTCTAAAACTGAAGTATATAGAGAATTGCTTCTCTTCTACATCTATTCCTGTTTCCACCAGGTGTGTGAGCAGTTTGGTTTGCCAACTCCATGATGCAAAAGATCCGATTTACAAATATTTTGACAGATGTTCATATAGAAACCCAGATTTTCTGATTGAAGTTTGATTAGCAACTTTCGCAGCCATACACTGTTTTTAAAATGCAAAATAGTATTAATTGTCACAGTTGGAGTGGACCCCACACACTAATGAGCACCGCCTTTGTGACCTTTCCGAGAGCACTCCACCATACAAAGACCTCATAGAGCCAGAGGCTTATTTTCGGAGAGAGGTCCCACCTTTTGCCAATGGTTCCTCTGCAATGGTTTCTCCTCGATATTAAGCTTCCCTGAAAGTTTCCTAACTAAGACGAGCCGAAATAACTCTCCATCCGCGGCAGTGGTGCATCCGGGATTTTGAAATTTCTAGTAAATAAAACCATCTCAGTTGGATGGATGGACCGTTSAAATGCTTAGCTATCATCATTAATGTAGTTCCTACAAATAAGTAGCTGCTTGTGGAGGAAAGGACGTGTCAAAAATTTCAGAAGGATATCGAAAATTGGACTTTCCGATGCAGGCGATGTCTTCCTCTTCTTCTGCTGCCTCCGGCGGGTACTGCGTTGCTTCCTGTCAGAGCTAGAGTGTTTATTCCATCCAAAGGACCATAAATTTTCCGTAGAATCGTTTTCTCGAAAATTTGTCATCATGCCTCTGCACCAAATAACAGATCGGGAATGAGAGGGCTTGCAGATCTTTATTCGTCGAAAGAGAACTTTACTTCTCAATTGCTGTCAACAGTATGTTACTGGTTGTAAAGTACTTCATAACTGGGTGATTTGACCGCAGGGATGTTATTAATGCACGTACATATTTTGCAAATGTGTTCTAGGAAATGAAAATGCACAACTTCATACATAGGTTTGTATGTATGTACGTATTCGTGCACATCAAAAATTCCGTTCCGCAACTTGTGCATTTACATATTCTCTTGGGTGCGCTCTGGTTGTGTGCCGGCGCGGTGAAGGTGAGAGTGTGTGTTCTGTATGGGCGTGCAACAGGTGTACGTTTTCGGTAGGGTGAATCAAATTAAATCTAAATTTAGAGTAATTTAAAGAACACATATAGGAGGGAATATGTATGTACATATACATATATGTGGTGACTTATATGTATTTACTTATTGTATTTATATAAGGATTTCAGTGTGTACTTATGTTTGCACACACAAAATGTGCTTAACGAGCAGTGTAATAACGTATTAATTGAAATGTACCGCGCGTAGCGGATTAAACATGCCTGCAAGCATATATAGACGTACACTACTCGTCAATATATTAGACGCACGCATACTTACATTGGTATTCAGTTAATAACCTTCATATTAAATTTAATTATTTAAAAGTTGATATGAAAAACTTTGGTTATTCAATGATAATTTGAGTATGCTATTCAAAAAAGGTTAAAAAAGTTTGCAAATGGGTCTCGAAGTAGCACATCTTGCTTTGCCAACATGGCCAAACCAACGCATTCGCTGGATTTTTATGTGCTTAACTATATCCATGTTACAGAAGAGCTCATACAGTTCATAGTTCCTCGTTCCTCGATATTCAAACTCACTCGGACGGTACCAAGGACCTTGCAACAGTTTTCTTGAATGTTCCAACTGCACCGTAATATACTTATAGACCACAATTTTTGTTAGATTACCGATCTCAAATTAGTACCTGTTAGCAACAGTTATTTTGTGCTTAATCTCCAGATTTAGTTTATTAGTGGATTTATAGTATTTATGCTGGTCGCAAGACATTCAAATTCCTTCGCTTTTTCAAATTTATGGCTGTCTACAGTGACGAAGTTTCATTATGATCGGATCCTTCATCTTCGAATTATCACTTGAGCAAATTCGAAAGATGCTGTTACGAGAAAAGCGCATATAAAGAAAACGGGTGGAGCTGATTGAAATTGTTGGCTACATTTAAACTGGCTGTAACTTAAAAACTATTTAAGATATCTTTTTGAAATTTTAGTATGTTAGTTATAAAGTATCGAAATATTGAAAAACAACAAAAATCGATTTTTTGAAAATTTGACATTTTGCTGCCATGTTGTATGCAATTTTCTGCAGCCGACAGCGGAGGCACCAAAAAACTTCCTAGTACTTAGTATAACAACAAGGTTTAAAAAATTAGGCAAAGGAAACGGTCATTCTTTAGAACCGAATGTCGAGGACCAGAACCGAAAATAAAAAAACCTTTCCATACTTCCAGTTGATGTGGTATTCAGGAATTTTTGAACCGTAAACGGAAGTGTATTTCCGTCGGAACCGGAAATGATAAAATAACTTATAACTTCCGGTTTATGTGTTGTTCTGTAAGTTGTGAACCAGGAACGGAAAGAGCCGGAAATGTAAAAATAAGCGTTCAGAATGTCTGGTTTATGTTGTAGTCCGGGAGTTGGGGGCCGGAAACGGTTGTTTTTTCCGGACGAAACCAAAAATGTAACATGTAAATACTTCCGGTAAGATTCCTAAACCGGAAATTTAACCCGTAAAATATTTATTTCCGTTCTGAGCCTTTTCCGGTGTCCGGTCTAAGAATATGTCCGTTTCCTTCGTATAATTTTGCCCCTTTGCATATGCTACGCACTAGCAAGTTTTCCAGCACATTCGCCAGCAGCTGCAGAAATTCAATTTGGCAGCAAAATCCCGGATTTCTACCAGGCGACCAGGAGCATGTAGAAAGCAGCCACCGAATGGAAAACTGCTTATAACTTCTCAACTAGAGTTCGCACAAAGAATTTAAAAATGTGACAACTTGCAGAATCGCTAGGCCGACCATCCTATTTAAGAAAATTCGAATTCCGAACTACGCTACATTTTAAAGAATTAAAAATTTGTATAAATTCGCCGGTTTTTTACAAAATAATGGTTAAATGTGTTGACAAAATAATGGTTAAATGTGTTGAATTGACCATGGCGAAAATCTGTAATGTGATCGTCATCTACTATATGGACCACAACGAAATTTTTAGAATCTTCACACCAGATATTCGCAATCGAACCGGCTATCAGTAGTTTTTTTCGAACGAGAGATTGATGAGAAAAATATTTTTGCAAAAAAAAAAAAACAGTCTGGTAAATAGTAAATATAACAGCTTATTGAGAACAAAAATTGGTGGTGTCTAACCAGTGAACAGCAGTGTATGAGTGTATGTGTAAATGTGATTCTGCTCAAATTGCAGCGTGTATTTCTTTATATACACCGAGGTGTATGTGAGCTTTGACTTATTTGCGGTTAAACTGCGTGCATTTATATACACACATGCATATAAGTGTGTATGTTATAATTTTGTAATATATACAAGCATATATATGTGCATTAGCTTGAGCTTAATTGGAATTATGCATTTTTTATTTCAATCTACTGCACATTATTATTTATTAAAATTCTCTATTTCCGCTTACAGATACACTGATAATCTTAAAAACAACTAAACAACAAGAACAACAATAACAACAATAACAACATGATAAAAAGCAACTGTAGCAGACGCTACTGCGTCTCCCAAATGCACCGGGCACCAATTATTTACGGAATAATTGAAATCACTCAACAAGCAATGGAAATTACAAATACACCGATAATCAAACCAAACCAAGCCGAAAATTAACACTTTGATGAGATTATAAAAAGGACATAATTAATTATTATTAAATCAGGAATTGATAAATTAGTGGTTAAATATATATATGTATTTACAATATGTGTATATGTTTGTATATTATCGAAGTGCACCCAGCAAATACGCTTACTTACATAACATGCATACATACATATGCTAAGTGTATGTACTCTGTATGTGTATGTGTGTTTATTAAAAAAACAAATAAGCAACGGTATGGATAATAAGGAAAGTAATAATATAATAATCAATGTACGAAAGTAGTAAAAACAATTAAAATAAATTAATTTAAACTATTATGAAGTATTTTGATTTTTATATTCTTTGTTGAACATACAGTTCGCGTTAGCATGAAAAGAGTTCCCTGAATTTTGTTACATAATAATTATTTCATTTATATGATTATGATATTTTATCATTTATATGAGAACAATTAGTGATTGCAGTGACTGTATGATTGCTGCTCATATATATAGTTCAGCTTTTATGGTGTCCGTTATTTCTCAAGTTCATTTTTTTCCTTTTTGAGAACCCCTAAAGTTTCAGTTTTTGCCCTTAAAACAAGTATACAACTTAAACAAGCTGTCAATTTTCAATTTAAACTGCAACCAAATCATAACTCTCTTCCAATGTATTATATAGCATCGAAGTTTGCATATTGTGCATTACACAAATGCACCTACAACTTTCAAAAAGTATTATTCTTGTACAAAATCTTCTTCTCCACAAAAAATTTCTGATTAATATTTTCCATAAAAGCAGTCATTTAAAAGTTATAGGCAATTAAAATTATACTTCAATTGTACTGAGCATTCATACAAATTCTGTGTTGCTCATACGACATGGTGTATTGTATGCAAATTTGTAGTACATTTGATACATAATTTTAATAGCCTATAACTTTTATAATAATATTTGTTAAACAAGAATAGTTAAGACTTTTTTAAGCGGACAATTTTGTATTAGAATATCACTTTTTCAAAGTTGTAAGCTCAAAAATTTTTAATATTTTTTAGCATTTTGTGTAGATATTAATTTAAAAGCGTTAGCATAATGGGCTTCAAAAGACTTGAGCTCAAATCCGTGTTATAACACATATTTCTATTTCAAGTACCCAAAAAAGCAAAAACTAAATTTTATGAAAATCAAAAATTACATGRTTTTAAATACATTTATTCTTACTAATTTAATTAATAAATAATGAATTTTAGTAATTTTAATTTAATCAATGAAAACTTTCTATACCAATTTTTTTTAATACAAAAAATTACATTTTTAAAATTTGTACTAAACACTCATGAAATGCTAAGTACATACATACGTATTTATATATTATAGAAAAAATATGTATAAAATAAGCTACACACTCGTGTTATTAAACTTGAAACAAAAAAAGGTATAGATTTTAGTGCAAACGTAGCGTAAATATTCCTAGACCCTCAGGTGTTGTTTGTTTAACATTTTTCATATATTTATGTATGTATGTCATTAAACTATGTTTTTCATATGATAAACAGTTTTGTCAGTGAAAAACAAATAAATTTGAAGTTACTTACTTTTAAAACTAGCGAATTAACGGTGTTTTAGTTATAAAATAAAAATAACATGTACAATAAAATATAATTGTAAATTAGCAAAACTTTGATTGCATTGAGATGTACCACGTACCTTACCTTAAAAGAGAACATAAATAATGATAAAAAGTAAGACAAATGAAGTTTACGTAGTAAATAAAATAAAGGGAAAAACATAACAACAAAATGTTGTATTAGGAATAGTTATTTATTTTTTTTATATTTTATTAATTATTTTAAAATTTTTGGAAATTAAATATTTTAAAGAAAAGTTAATGTGAGTTTGCTTAAGAAGTCGAAATGATCTTCATAAATAATTTTTTTTTTTGTTTTATTTTCTATTATGTTAAGAGCATTCTTAAATGTTTTGGTAACTAAATATTTTAAATAAATTTTTATTTCTTATTTGCTAGTTTGTTTAAGACGCCGACGTGATCTCGCAAATCATTTTTAGTATTTAATTTGAGGATTTAATATATAGCATAACAATAATATTTATTTCAGAATTTTTTTTAGGATTTTATATGGTTTGTCAGTAAAATAATTTGTATAATTTGCAACATTAGAAAAAAAATCAGCAAAGGCCATTGGTACAAAATCTAGGCAGAGCAAGCCGAAGTGTCTGTCACAGACCTTCAAAACAGATTTACACCTATTGAGTTTACTGATGAATCTAGTACTAAAAATTATTTTTTTATTAAAGATTACATTTAATTTTTA